TTCAGAACAAGTGACCATCCTGCATCTATAACAAGCACACTCACTATGACTGTTCAATTGTACATTATGTTCTTTACAGTATTTTTCTTTCATGAACCTACTTACTAAGATATTCAGCACTACTTCAAGATAAATATCTTGTTGGACCTCTAGTTATTAAATAGATCGATCCCACTGCTCTAAGGTTAACTCAATTTTACCACAACATCCAACACTAACAGTAAATAGTGTATGAAACTCGTTACTTAATTTCAGGAGTGCATATTGATGTTTAGAATACATTTTAATACTAGAAATAATGACATTATAAATGTTTCAGTAGAATGCTCCTTAAGAAGCTGCAAAGCAAAACTTTGAGTGTCCACTTAAAGGGATACCCAATGGTTCAACAGTATGTCTATGGATTTACAATGCTAGAAACCAGGCTTTGATGCCCATGGTTAGCAGAACACAGATAGCCCATTTTGTAGCTTTGTGCTTAACTTCAAACAAACAAACCAATTAAAGAAAAACAACTATTTGGTGTTATAAGGTCATTTATTTATATCAGTAAATAGTGTAACACTAGTCACATTAGCTAATGTTTACTTTAATTTTTGAAAATAGGTAGCATACCTAGTTTTAAATTAAAAATGCGTTTGTTTTATAGTAACTGTCTCACTACTGTCCCATGGACCAACCTAGTAAACATTTTGTACTTGTTACAGTTTTCATACTATAACTTTTAATACAGTATATATATTTTTTATCTTTACAAAATTTGGCAGACTTTTGGGAAATATTAGAAGTCATTTGTATGAAAAAATCAAATCTTTTATTTGATTTGTTTGAGTGCAAAGTGATTTTTATATTAAATATTAAAATAATTTTCTGTGTCACAAAAATCTCAAATTTCATTTGTGTAGTCACTAAAACCTCTTAAATAAATATAAAACTCTTTTAGTAAAACATTATATTTTTTGTTATTACCTCTACTCTAACAGTATATTTTATTCTTCAGCCAGAAGGCAAATCACCAAAGTATAATGAAAAGTTGTAAAATCAGAAATAAAATGAGTAGCTGTACCTTTTTTCTTGATTACTGATCATTTAATTTCCAAGTACTTCTCTTGAGGGTTTCAACTGCTAAACATTTCACACTTATTTCCTGTGTTTATTTTACTGTCAACAATTGAAGTACAAATCTGTTGAAAATAAAGCAACAAACCACTACTGTTCACATGACATTGCAATACAATACCCTTGAAAGCAGCAAAGCATGTGTGAAGAAATAAACTGACTTGACCCCTTCTTTGAGAACAGGATGTGGAATGTATCAGTTTTTATATCCTTCAGTGTTTACTACGAGAATTCACTAGAGTAATAACACTGCACTTTGAATCAATGAAAACGTTTATACAGAGAACACGATGTGAAATGTATTGGCTTCTGTGTATTAAATTATTTATGATAAGAATACGCCAGAATAATAAAACTGCACTTTGAATATATAAAAAGGTTTATACTGAGAACACAAATGTGGAATTTATCTGCTTATGTATCCTACAGTGTTTACAACAATAATTATCCAGAGTAATAAAACTGCACTTTAGATCTGTGAAAAAGTTTATTATATGGTTCAGAGCCAATGATATAAACATCACAACTGTTTGAATAATGGGAATCCTTCTGGGATGTTAGGAATTTAGTAGTATACTGTACAAGTGTACAAAGACATTATGCATGATTAAAATTTCATATTTCCCTTTCAGCAAACTTAATCATCAACCAATAACACTCGGGTTTCAAATCTGGTTATTATTTTGCAAGCATTCAAATTCAATCAAGCACTCTGACTTTGGCTATTTCACTATACTTTGTTGGAAAACATAAACGTGTTGAAGAAGACTGTGTTGATACTAATTGAATACATTTGGCTACAAACATTCCTTGTTACTGACTTTTACTTAGAAGGAAGTTATCATTATTTGTAATACATGTGGAATCTCTGCTCAATAGTTTCAGTATATAGTTTTTAAACAAAATCAAGTGCAGCTGTTTCTGTATTTCAGCATAACATGTACTGCTTCTGAAATCTGTGATACTCATCAAAGAGTGTACATACATGTAAAAAACTAAAACACATCATAGAATACACTTAATAATGTTACAAAACAGAGTAAATGACACATAGTATACAATATATATAAATATAATGATACACAATAGAAAATATATGCAATGTTTCTTCTTCTTGAAATGAAAACTAAAATAGAACTACAAGCTAAAATGAGGGAATTGAAGGATGCTAGTGTTACTCTTCAAAGAAGCTAAATCTTTTACCAAAGAATTGTTTGTATAAAAGTGTCTGTTCTTTTCTTTTTTAAAATTACTTTTCTCTAAAGATTTTAATGTTTGTATTTGAAAGTACAGCAGTATTTCCTCTTTTTACATCTTTTTGACTGAAATGATTTTGTAGTTTTCTTTTGTTCGTACACTTATATGTAGAGTAGTAATGCTCCCTTTCATGTGTCAAAATCAATTTTGGTTACAATTTTATATATCAAGTTTACTGTTGCAGTTTCCTAAAATGTTTGTAGTAAAATACCTATACAAGTTTTCCATCATTGATAGTTTTTTTCTGAGCACATCTTTATGTATGTTATTTACAGTTCTTTTCATTCTGGTTGTTCCTTTTATCATGCAGCATCATTTGTATACATTTTTATAAGTTAGAATGTGTATAACTTGATGTTATTACATGCAATTTGTATGTGCATTATTCATTTAAGAGATGTATAACCATAGGTGTGTAACTTTATTCTACATGCATTTGTAAAGTATTAAATCTTTCTAAAATGTTATGAATAAACCTGTATTTCAAGTTGTCAAGCTTCTAATGTTACATAATTTGCTTTTATTTTACCTCAATTTAGAGACTTAGAAGAATAACACAAATTCAGTAGGCATAACTATATAGGCCTACAAATCTCTAACTATAATACCAGTATTTTGCAATATAGTGAAATTTTGGCTCCCATATATTACATATGTATATATACATATTACTATTTATTCATAAATGCTTCAATTTTTGCTATTTTTTATTAAAATGTAGAAAAATAAATAAAAAACACTTTGAAAAACAAATATTTTGAGTACTTGCGGTGTCACAAGATTTTGTGCTTGTGATAATCCTTGCTGTAACTGTAAGCCTCATTTATTCTTCTGAGTGGAGGGTGAAGATATATTGATTTTTGTTCGCTTCATATATACATATTAGGAAACAAAAAATCCCTGTAATTTATCTGGTTTTCTAAACGAGCTATATAAAAGTTTAAAAAAATCTCATTTCTGTTCAGAGCAACAATTTAGTCATCACACTTCAACAGTTTCCACAAAATCGACTTTCTCCTTCAAGCTCTTTATAAATGACTGTCAGATTTATGTACACAAGAAACTGCTTTCTACTGGTTATAAACACTTAATCAAAATAAGTAGGTGGGACTACACAAGAGAATGAAAGAATGGAGTAGTGAGAGAAGCCAAACTACAAGATTGTCTAAATACACATTGACACATCAGCAAATCAAAGATGTAGGTTTTTATTTTATATTATAGCATGTCAGTATCTCCAATTTGAGTTTTTAATACGTTAACCACGTTATATGGTAGGTATAATAAATTATAAACGGAGCAATAACACAATAAGAGGTGCTATGTGACATATATGAATTGATATTTAGCAATTTTTTCTTTAAATTTTCTTGCAAGTTAGGAAATTTGAATTATGAACTACATTTTGATGTCAATTCCACTGACATAAATAATAGTGAAGCTATCTAATAACATTTTGAAAATAACTTTCATGAGATGAGCTCTTTGATCTATCTACAGCAGAAAGGTTAAAGCAGTACAACGATCCATTGATTGCACTTTTCTTGGAAGCTTTGGGATGATGGCAGTTAAAAAGTTTTCTAATCAGTTTGTGAAACAAGATAGATTATATATTATTGTCACTGTCGATCTTGAGCATTTGAAACTTATTCTCGTCTTTTAGGTGATCAAATATTTTTTGTTTGTAATTGTTTCTGCTCATAACTACAAAACCTCTATATTTATCCGATTCTTTGATGATAATGATATCTTTTTTAAGGGCTAGTTGTTCTTGGGGATGTAATTTTGGTTTAGCTTTATGATTTCCGTGTCTTTGTAAAACTTTTCTGATCTTTTTCTTCAAAATTCACAATTTTAATTTCAATATCTTTATTAGCATTTGGAGGTTATCGTTGTTGGTATCAAAAGGGTGTTCATTGAGATATTTGGAAGCTGAATGATTTGTTGCAACTGTAGTTGAACAAATTTCAGTAATGGAATTAATGTGTGATTCAATGTTATAAGTAGTAGAGATTGAGTTTGTGATATTTTGCTGTATATTACAGTTACTTTCACTGTTGTTTGTAGTAATTAGAGGTTCAATCATTTCTCTATTTTCACCTCTTCTCACTATGAACAATAGCGAAAGTAAAATCAAAATAGCTTATTTGTAAATATTAATTTGATAAGGGCTATTACACTGTAGTAAAACAATCTTTCATGGCCTAGTTTTAGAAAGAAAGACAAAGCCTCTTCCAAACCCTTTACATTCCTTTTAAGTGGGAATCTAGCAACTGTTTACATAATACATTATGACTGCCTTCATACTCCATGACAATTAACAGTAAGCAAAAAAATATGCATAATGATGTGCTAAATGTACCAGAATAAACCTGCATGTAATTTTTAGCACTAATAATGATATATTTTTTTGTCATCTGTGTTCGAGAAGCATCACTCAAGCACATGAAATTAACTGACTACTAGTTACTCCGACTTATGGGAATCATGGACATATTTTCTAAAATTTATGCAGGCTATTCCTTTATAATGTTTTAAATATTTCTATTGTTGGCCAGGTTCTTTTTGGATTATTGCATACAAAATTTATAAGTACAATAATAATAATGCAACACTCAGTCCACTTAACAATAATAAAAAGTTTTATTTCTTCAACTTCTACAGCATTATCAACATGCACCAATAGGATTAACTTTATAAATGAACTAATAAAAAATTTAAGTTGTCTGGCTACCCATCAATTCTTTCTTTGTAACAAACTCAACATTCAAAGCATTGAACTAACTGGTTGCCAATAGCAGATAACCTGACTAAATCACGAAGAGGTTACTTGCTAACTGCATAAGAGACTAACTATGTGATCTAATGGACTCAATAACTTACACTCTAGCCTAAATTGATTTTTATAGAGACTCATTTGTTTCCTAACCTTTCAAAAGATTCTACCATTCCAGTCATTAATACTACATCTGTCATGTTACATAAAACTTCCAGCTAGTCCACAATACAAGTTTCTTGAACAGCCTGGACATCAAAATCAAATATTTGTTTCATACAGCTTGGGCCTTAAAACTGAAGAAGTACATCACCAATATTTTTTTCTCAGCCTGAATACTGTTTACACCATTACTGATTACAATTAACTGTAACAATGATATCATGTTTATTTATCACATAAAACAACAAAAATGCTGTAACTTGAAGGTGATTTATTATGTTCACAATAAAAAATTCAAAGTTAAAGGTAGTCTGCATTTGCACAGTACTTTACTTAGTCAAAGTTTCAAGTTAAATACATCCACATTTTTCTTAAGTGTATCAGGTTTCTCACTGCACTTCTCTTCAACAGTTTTCAGTTGCACACTTTTTCTTTAACTACACATCTGAAAGAATTATATCTAGTTATAAACTGTCATTACAACATGATTTCCTGGCAGCTGAAGAGAGGGCATTACAATTCCCTACACAGTTTTCGGTGTTTCAAATAGAAATGAAGTTAACAGTGTCCGTGCTTTCATGGCTTCCTTGAGCTTTATCCTTTGAATATGACTTCAAGGTACTCTTGCCCATCCTGGAAAAGTTAATCTTGATGACAGCAGACTGTCAAGTGTCCTATTTTTTAGTCTTCCTATATATATGGATGAATTTTCCTGTATTTTTGAAAGAAAGCTGCAGTTTAGTAGATACATGCAAGTTTAAGTGAAATACACTGAATTGTACTGGTATACCTCTATACTTTATGTAATGTAACTCTGTGTGTTATACAGTGAGTTTATATTTTCAGTATGGTGATGTTTCATTAAACTGAATCTAGAATGTTATTATCGTAGTTATACAGTTATTAACCTGTAGTAGCTTTTATCTAGCTGAGAGGATGTCTGGTGGTAGTGTAACTCTGTTTGGTGCAATAGCGGTATTGGTGGAAAACTCGAGCTAATCCCAGTGCTACAACATGTCAAATCCACAAAGCAGGAAATCAGAAATAGTTTTGAACCTGGGACAGTTCAAATTGATTGAAATAATCCACCAGATATTTGAGAACTCACTTGAACCCACCATTACATCAACTACAGACAGCTCTCTCTTGGTGTAACAAACTATTTTAAAAATGTTGTTAAAATAGAGATAATGTGGGCACTAAAAGATGCCGTTAGTGGCATGAGCTATCATTCGTATGACAGAATTGATATATTTAATGCACTGTTTCAATACCCTATTGCAGCTGACTTTCCTAAGCTTCCTATGTGATTTCAGATGGATTTCACATATTTCACAAACTAATTAGTTTATGATTTGACTATAAGCAAAATTCCTTTCATCATTCATTATAATGAAATAAATGCTTACGGAGTGAAATGGATGTATTTGCCCTTCTGCTACTGTTCCCCATCAACTTAATGTATATAAGTGTTTATATACAGCTTGGAACTTTGGCCATGCAAGAGGGAAAATGTCATCATGAACATGCTGGAAACAGAGGATACATATTTCACTGATCTTACCACTTAGTAGTGAAGAACCAAATGTAAATAAGAATGTCTTCTGAAAGATCAACAAGTCTTAAAGAATCTGGAAGTTCAAGACATGTTGAAATTTAATTCTGACATTTGCGCTTGATGTTGTTGTAGTCAACAGAAACATAGAGTAGCAGGAAACAGTTCAAAATTAACCTTAGACTTTTCAAAGGAGACAAGGATTTCCCCCAAAAGTGCAGCTTTCAAAAGGATGTGCACAAGAATTCACCAGAAGCATTCACTTATGGATCTTCATTTCTTGAAAGAGCAATTCCTCTTTAACATAGTCTTTGAACTGTTTCAGGTTGAGGCATTTTTGTTCCATATTGTATAAAAAACTAAGCAACCTGGTAGTAAGAATGTTGAGCAAATATGTGAATAGCACTTAGTACCAAAGAAGAACTGACAGGAACTTACATCAAACATGATGACAAAGCAAAGCAGGTTTAAGATAAAGATCTGGTGATTGAAGTTCTCTCTCACTATAAGGTCAGTCAATTCGACTGACCTTCTAATATCTTGTACTCATTATATTTTCCACACTGTAACTTTTAGTACACTTTGTGTATCTTCACAAAATAAGGCAGACTTTTATTAAACTAATTACTATAGTACTTTTAGTTAACTAAAAACTAATTAGTTTAATAGTAATATTTACTTAAGTATTGTCGTGATATATATATATATATATATATATATATATATATATAGTATTTCTATATATTAGTCTGAGTGTAAAGTGATTTCCACGTTAAGATTCAAAATACTTTTCTTCTCAAAATCTCTAAAACCTCCTAAATATATTTCAAACATTTTTTCAGTAAAACTTTATATTTTATCTGTTATTTTCTCTACCCTAACTTTATAAAAGGTTAGTAAATAGCTTTAAACTCATAACAGTGCACATTTATACTTAAATTCTATTGCTTTTTGCCCTTTGAACCCTGTCTAACTACTATTGGTGCCATTATAAGTTGTAAATCACTTAGCAAATGTGCAGCTCACATTACGCTATCAAATTACATTACACACGAGCTACTCATGAGCATATCACATGAAAAAATATATTTTGTTTCACTTAATCTAACTTTAACTAACATAAAAGTTTCTTATTTTTACCCTTTAGTTACTTTTATAATAATAAATAAAGAATGCACATAAAACAGAAAACAAGAAATAAAGTACTTGCATGTTTTGTTTTTTTACTGTCAACTGAGAATAACACTTAACTCTACTTTTTTATACTAATGGTAGTACTGCACAAAAATTTTTTTTTATTCAATTAAATAATGCACCAAAGGGACACAATAATGTGCAAAAAACTGATAATGTCCCATAACTATCACAATCTTTCTGGCTTTCTAACTATGCAACAAGAACCATTAACCCATTCACGATGGGTATATACTTGCATATGTATGAGAAGAGAGCTCCTTTACATGGTTACATACCTGCATGTGTACTATAACTTCAACATTCATAGCTAAAAGCAGAAACGCCATATAATTCTGCTTTCTTTTCTAACATTTTGCCATATTATTTAGCTACCTCTGACAGAAGTCATGATGTCAATGGTAAATAACCTCCTCCTCTTAATCATGATTGGTTGATACAGGTGCACTTGGGAAATAATGTGCGAGTCATTCACCTGCAGGAGTCAGTTTTTTGTTTGCCTTCGAAGTGTGACTGTTTCATTAGTAAAAAACATGGCTGCAAATATTCCTTCTAGTAGTAGTGATAGTTATTTTGACTATTTCCCAGCTGATAGTTACAGTGAATGAGATTTATCAAATGGTGATAGTGCCACTAGTTCCTGTGATTTGGAAGAATCAGTACCAGTTGCAAGGGAAACACTGACTGAGTGGAAAATAATTTCCAATCCGTTTACTGATGCTAGGCCCAATGCCATTTCTCCATTGAACCAGCCATATGAAGGAATACACTCCGATATAAATATGGCCAATGAGAAATAAAATTATTTCAAACTCTTTCTTAATGAAGAAGTTATGCATTATTTGTGTGGATCTATAAATGAATATTTCAATACAAATCCTGATTGCAAAAGCAAAATGTTTGGAATCAATTGATGTGATGTGAGCTGTATGTGTTTGTAGCACTGTTTTTATACAATGGATTATGCAAGTTCAACCAACTTCATTAGTACTGGCAGCAATCTTTTTCCGGGAATTTATTTTTACTGCAATGACGTTATGAATCGGGACAGATTCTTTACTACCAAGAAATTCTTCCACTCATCAAATGTTGCAGATGTTGAAAGAGTTAATGCTCAAACTCAATTAGAACCTTTCTGTAACCTCTTGCATAAAAAATGTAAGTATGTAGTCTATGTAGGAGAAAACATTGCAACTCATAAAGTTTTGGTATTTTGGAAGGGTAGATTAGCTTTCCAGCAATATATAAAAATCAAGAGATCACGTTTTAGATTGAATCTTTTTGTTTTGTGTCTGTCAGGAGATGATTTGAGTAGATATACCTGGAATTTCAGTACATATTATGGAAAGGACACATACCAACTGCCGTTTGCTACGCCTCAAAACCTTTCAGTTTCAGAGAGAATTGTGGTGCATCTTGCACAAAGTATACCAAACCAATGACAACATAATTATTGACAACTGGTATTCCAGTTTGAGGTTAACCAAGTATTCAGATTTAAGAAAGACATATATCAAAGGGGCAATGAGGCTAAAGAGAGGTCCTCCAAAAGAAATCAGTGGCAAAAAAAGTGTACCCAAATTCAGAAGTGTATTCACAAGGCATGATAATGCTCTAATTGTACAATGGGTTGACAAAAAGGATGTTCTCGTATTTACAACAAAGTATGAGGCCTCATTGGTTGAAAAGAATAAAACATTATGGAAGAACATCCCAATGCTTCTATAAATGCTATCATATTAAGAAATATAAAAATTAAATGAGGTCTGTTGACAAAGCTGACCACTATCTGGAACCTTATGACCACTTTCAAAAATCCCTGGCATGGTTCAAAACGCTAGGCCTACATCTAGTTTCTCGGATGACACTGAATGCCTTTCTTATCTGTAAAAGGCAAACTGGAAACTAAAAACTGAAGTATTCTGGTTATCTCAGCACTGTTGACAGACCACACAAATGATGGCTTTGAAAAAGTGAGAATCCAGTACCTACAGCAAAACCACATATAACATTGGAGGCAACTGTTATATATAGCTCATATATAACAATAATACAAATATATTACAGTTTTAAGCAAAAATAATCATAAAATAAAAATCTGTATGATGCAAAAGAGTGCAAAACTACATATGGAGTTCCAGGGGTTAAAACTAAATCTAAGCTCGTTGATGTGTTTCCTGTAGGAATCAAGCTTGAGCTGATAATTCTCTTAACAAAAAACAATGTAATATAATATGTCACTTGATAGATGAAAACCTTGGCTTTCTATTGGTTATAAATAATATAATATTGGATGTAGAGAGAACTACTGACAATTTCTGAAAGAGAGGATGTGACAGGTGGGTGTGGTAAAAGGGGTCTGATTGTTTATTTCATGGTTCTGTAACCAAATAAGATTAAGGTTATGAAAATTATTCTTTGCCTGAGTGATGATGAGAATGAGTAATTTACATTAAATTTCATACTTCTTGGAGAGGTGGTAAATAAATGGGAATGCCTAGAGAGCAAATGTGACAATTCTCACACTAGGAGAAATTCTAGATTTTCTTTAAATATTGCCTTATAAAAGTAAGAACTAAGAATTGCACACTATTAAAATATGGATTATTAGCTACGTTTTTATGCTATAGGTATTAATATACCATGAAAAGAAACTGGTTTAATTAAATTTTGAATGTAACTCAGAAAAACCTTGTGACGTGTGCAGAAAAAGAAGAGTTAATCTTGATCATGTCAGAAAAAAACAAAAAAATGTAGAATGCAGAAAAAAGGAAAATCTTGACAACTTTATGTTGCTTAAAAAATAAACTAGGTAAATTTCATATACTTTATATCACAGCCACTTAATATTTGGTAAGTTAATGCTTATCATTTTCTTGTACTTTTAGTACATACCACAATATCCTAAACTTCTGAGAGTTGTAAGTCATCATTTTTTTGAATAAGAAGATTAAACTGCTGTCATTATATACAATACTTTTTAAATTTACTTGCACATTTTTTACTTCAGAAAGCATGGGTAATAATTTCTATTTTGTAAATTACAATTCAATACATTTTTTTTGTACACACTACAGTTTATGGATATCTTTTTCTATCTATTGTTTAGTGTAATGGGGATTTTAAATGCATATTAAACATTGTTTTGTCATTTCTTTTCATAATAACATTACTTGTGATATATTATTTTTCGTCTAGTCAGTCTGGTGTTTAAATTTTCAACCTTTATTTTCTGTGTGTATATTTTCATAAGCCTGGTACAAGGTATCTAGCTGACATCTTTTTAACTGTCATAAACTCTAAGAAAATATTAAAAATAGTTAGCACTGTTTTAAGACAAAAAGCATTAAAAAACATTAAATATTAGTATCATATCTTGCATATTTTGAATGATCTGATTTTCAATATAGCAAGCTAAAGGTATGGCTGCTAGAGAATGTGGAGGCCAATCCTAATTTTCTTTTAATTCAAATATTTAAAAAGCACAGTACATAGAGTGCTCTAACATTTCCTTGCTTCCAGTCTAAACTGTCTCATTTTTTCCTTGCATTTTTGACCATATAAATTCTTACATTTGAACCATCCTATTTTCTTTTGAAGAATTATTTTAATCAAATGGCTATGTGCTTATCATTTTCACAGGACTTCACCCACCTAAACTATGTTAGTCATTTTGTGTTACACACACATTTACCAATTTGAATCTGTCATGCAACTCAAGCATATAATATCAGTGCCACTGCAGTTTAAAAAGTGGTTCCTAAACTATTTTAGTCTGAGGGTCCCTTGATGTCAGTAAAAAAAGTTGAGGCCCCAACCTATAACTTTAGCATGGTGATTGAAAAACAAGTGCCGTAGTAAAAACAAAATCATCTCCTTTTGACATACTATGTCATTTAATTAATTCAACGTAATTTTTATTGCCGTACTGTTTATTTAGTATTTAAATTAAGTCAGCATCTTTATTTTTGGCAGTCCCCCAGAAAAAGCTTCACAGCCCCCAGGGTGGCCACAGCTCCCAGTCTGGGAAACACTGGTCTAAAGTATTACCTACAGGTTGACATGAAACTAGTTGTAGTTTATTTTTTTTTATATGTACTTTTTTTGGCAAACAACTAAATACACATACATACTTTTTTCTTTATTATATATATATATCAATTAGGGAAATGTTCTCACATTCAAGAACTTTTGAAAACTTTTTTTAAAATCCAATGATCATAAAAGACAATACCTCAGATTTATGGATTATACAATTTGTTTTTGTTTTAGTGCAAAGCTACACTATAAGCTATAAGAGGTATCTCGGATGTGACATATGGATGCATGTCATCATATTAAATGAATCACATATCTACTTAAGTGTCTGCAAAGTTCCAAGCAAATTATCTATCTATATATCTCATGATACAATATTAAAAAAACAACAACATCAGATCAAAGCATGTCACAAAGGTTTTTGCTACAGATTTATAGTGGTTGAAGGTTACAGATAAAATAATAAATTATACATAATGAACATTTATAAAAATGCCAATTTCAGCACTGCATACAATTAGGCTAACATGCTGACATCACTACATTACCATGAAGAAATATCAGTAATGGAAAAATGCTATATATCATTAGCATAGATTGTGAACATTCCTCTGTATTCTGCAATATTTAATACACAAAAAGCATTTTTCTGCAGAAATATCATATCAAAAGAGTTGCATAATTTTGATCTAACTATTTGGCTATTAAGTTGAGCTCTTTTGTACTTGGAATAATTGATAAATATCCATGCTGAATTTGTATACACAGTTTCCTTACCTAGCTTCTGCTTTAAAAAAACTTTGCACATTGTGGTTTATAAATGTAAAACATCTAGTTTATTTAATTTTAGATAATGTGTTTATCTATAGCTAGATAATGCGAGTTATTGTTGGTTGGCATGCAACTCAATTTTGGACCAAGTGGAAGTTCACTTTTAGATGACTCTGTGACCAAAGAATTCTTGAGAAGGTTGTAATAATTCTTACCTTAACACGATTTCTAATTGTTGAATAGCATGGAACTCCACTTCTAAACACATTAGTTCTGAACAAGATGGTAGTCAAGATCTTTCCAAAAAGGTTATTTATTCCTGATCAAGGTGGTGATCCACATCCAGTCGTAACACTTATTTCAGTTTTTAGTCAAGGATAAAACAATACCTGAAAGATTTCTCAGTAAGTCAAATTTCATGTTTGTTTTTTTTGAACACACTTAGCATTTCATAAAATACACAAGTAAGGCAAAATGAAAACATATGCAAAATCTTACAAATCTTGAAATATTTAACAAGTATATTACAAAAGAAACACTGAAATTCAAACAATTCAACATTTAAATCAAATATTTAGTATAATACCCAAAACATTTTTGTTGATAAAAAAAACGCACTTGAATAACAATAACAAAACATTTCTCTTATATTTAATATACAAGATATCACACAAACCACTTTCACAGAAAGGTTAAAACTTGATATTTTCAGCATTTGGAGCTATCAAAATCACTGAAATTAACAATTACTATTATTTGATATGCTGAACTAATACTTAGATGAAAATAATCAAACAGTTAGCTTACAAAATATATTATGATGTCAGTATAAAATAGCGTATCAGACAAAACCAGGAAGGATGCAAGAGAAAAAATTCTGTACCAAAATTTAACTATAATGGCCATTAAAATTATGCAAGTCTTTCACAAAGTAAAATTCCAATACATTCCTTCAACACTTTTCAATGCAACTACTTAAGTGAATTTCTAGGAGATTTTAAACAGTAAAAATACTTTTTCCATAGTAACTCCTAAATCATTCAAAATTTACTCACATTTAAGAAAATGCACTAGCATGCATCAATTTCTGTGAAATTTACAAAATAGTTAAAACTGCTTATGATGCAGATTAAATACAAACAAAAGAATTTAATCAAAACAGTGTGTACATTTTCTCTATCATATAACTATTTGTTACTTTTGTTTCTTCATTCAATTTCATATTATCTAAATTAACTATCATGACTTTTAATGTTGTTTACATTAAAAGTACCTAATGAATGTTCAGGATTATAAGTTCAATACTCAATTCGCTTTATGTATAAATTACGTAAACACTCAAATTTTGTAAACAGAGAGAATCAGTACTTTTTTCAATCAACTTCATTAGAAATGATCTGATTAAAATCAACAGTAAACTTTTATTTTTTAACTCCTTAGCTCTACATATGTGGTCACAGTCATTTTGACTGACCTTGTAACTAACATAACACAATTTACGATACCCTAGAACCCCAGTGCTTTTGAAAGATCGACATTTCATCTTCAGCTGCAAAATAGCTTATTTGTGTTAAAACCGATTTCTTGAATCTATGTGATTTCCTAACATTTTGTAATCACCATGTAAGGACACATAAGTCTGAATGTAGTAAGAATACCTTAACCAAATTTTACAAGTCTTTAATAAACACTACAAATTTGTTATTAAAGATTTGTCTGAATTTACAAAGCCTTTACCGAGTCAGTATAAGCAAAAGGTGACTTTCATGGTGAGAATAAAAATACTTTGTCTTATTTTACATTTTTCAAATTTCATTTGCATAATCTCTAGAACCTCTTAGATAAATATAGTATTTTTTTACTAAAACTTTATACTTCATCTGTTATTTTCTCTATTCTAGCACTAGCTGTATAAGGCAATCAATTTGACCAACCTTGTAGCAACCATGGAACAAAAATTATGAAATAAATCTAAATTACTCATTTTATTTTGATAATGGCTGCACACTGTAGCAGGCAATTCCACACTATTTACTCTTACAGCCAAAGCTAAGAATCTTTTAATTTAGATTCATTTCTTTAACGGGTGAACTTTGACCCTCTAAGAGTACAGGGAAAGCTATTTTTTATGTGGAACAGCTTTATGTAAGCAAAAAATTAAGTCACACAATCAAAAGCTCAAATCATTCTATCAAGAGCATTTTGTTTATTTAATGGTTTTTTCATACAAAATTTTTATCTACCCTAATAAGTATCTAATTTCATATATTGCAATTACTTTTATAATAACAGATCACAAATATACATTAAAAAAAATTTAGTACTTCCATCTGGATTTTTGTCTTTTCAAGCTGTTGTACTCATATCCTCAATGCTCAGTTATTTCTAATTGCTCTTGGCCTCACAAAATACTCCCACAAGCTAAAAACAGAATGTTGTAAAACTACAATAAATTAACTAGTTTTCAACTTAAGCTGTAAATATGTTGAAATAGTTCTGATGGCTAGTCAAGCTGCACTCCAATGATAGCACAAATAATGAAACTAACAATGAAGTTTTCAAAACCTTACATCTGAATGATCTTGATATTGTAGCATTTAATAAATTGGAACCTTTTCTTTCTGTTGGTTAGAAATAATCCAACAGCAAATGTAATTGTGTAAAAGTTGTTTCATGTGTATGCTGACATACCCAATTTTAGACAAATTAAGTACAGCTCAGTATATTGGAATGACCCTCCAAAATTTTATACCACAATTCAAAATTTACAAAGTGCATTGTCACAAAATTTCGAAATCTTTTGATAAATATTACAAGTTTGTTGTAAAGTTGAGTAAAGCATATATAATAAAAATTTATTTGTGAATTTCCAAAGTTATAATTTTCCTATACTGAAAATGTATTTCCAATAGGCAATTCCCTCTTCTCACAAGATTAGCTATTCTTGTTCAGTGCTACCCTATTTATGTGAACTTTTTTTTTTTTTAACACATGCCACAAGCCATCTGCTCCCCTTACTGGAATCTAGTTATTCCAACATGTCTCTTATGCAAATCATCATGCGTCATTTCTCCACCAATGGAGTGCAACATAGTCATGTGACTCCCTCTATACTCTTCCACCAAACTATCACTTTGAGTTTGGCAGAAGATGGAAGCACCAGTTTTCACTAGGGAGAAAAGGTGGGAAATGTCAGTGGAGGGAATTAGGAATTACCTATCAGAAATACATTTTCAGTATAGGAAAAATTATAACTTCTGATACAGTAATTCCCTCCACTCACAAGATTAGATAGAATCCCACATTAAATATGAGGAGGAACAGATGCGAGGGAATGACAGAAGCACCCTTCAAAAGCATCTAAAGGGAACACCTGGAAACGAGTCAGACCCAAAGATCTGATGAGGGAAACTTCACCACTTCTGAATGGTAGAGGATAACATCCAAGTGGAAGAGAACTCTAACCGGATAGTGTGCCGAACCATATAACATGAAAGTAAATCCCACTGTATAAAAGTGGGTAATCAATGAATGTGCTCATAGATGTAGAGTGGCTAGGGCACAGTGGACCATATGTGTATGTAACTATGTCCAAAACCCTCACCGGTGGGAACTGACATCTAAGCGGGGATAGGATGAGGATTATACCATCTTCACCACAAGTTTGAGAGATTGGAGAGAATCAATAACCACTCCAATACCAGAACATGGCACATGTAGTAGCATTTGATAGATTGATCTGGGAACCCGAAATCCGGTATCAAAAAGATGTCTTTATAAGAAAACCCAACTCCCGCGACTTGGAAATGAACCGGAATCATCCCAAAGCCAGAACATCCTCAGATAAGATATATTGAGAGACAGCAAAGGAAGAGACCCAGAACAGTCCACAAAGAGTTTGATCGAGGGAGGAATATATAAACAACCATAAACATGTGTGAGGACTTATGTTGATTGGTTCACTCTAAATCCAACACCAGGCCACGGGGTACCAACATCTATGCAACAATAAGATGAGGGCTCCCAATAAAAGGAGTGAACTGCATTTATGATGGCTCAACTCCAGTGGTTGTGGAAATGATATCAGGAGCTAAGAATTCCCTCACTTGACTAGAAGAAAGGAGGGTGAATATGCAATGGAGAGTCCGAAGGAATGTCATTACTGAAGATAGTGCATGGGTGACCACAAAACCCTATTTTGAAAAGCAGACCATATCAATTTATTCAATTAAGGCACAGCAGAGACAGGCAGTTATCCCCTTCTGCTTTACCCATGCAGTCCACGGGTGGTACCGTCCGGAATGGGCATGTTTATGAAGCAAAAACACAGCAAAGATATCCACCTTCAAGTGATCTTGTAGAACACCCCATCTCACCAGTGAGCACTGCAGAGCCATGGAAGAGAGCTCAATTCAACATGCTGGTACAGTGTGAATTTCAATTGAAAGATATCTGGTCAGGCACCACTTGCCACAAAGTGGGATCCAAAAAAATGACTAATAAAGCAAGGGTCCCTGAAAGGAAAGAAATAATGAATAGAAACTTATCCAGTTAGAATTGCACCGAAGTATAAAAAATGATCACAGGTGGTAGATGAAACCCTGAGGAGGAAGAAACTACAATACAGTGTATATAAGGAGATGACCGTATTAGGTGTAGCCCTCATGCCTGAGTGTAGGAGTTCCCCAATGGCTGACGAAGACGAAATACCAGGGAAAAGGTAAGGATGTTGAATCTGATGAGAAGACATATAGAACAAAGTCCAGGAGGAAGATGACAAAGGGGAGTAAGCCAATGGGATCAAAAGCAGAATACAATAGGTGAGGGCAGGAGAGAGACCTTGACTTGAGGAAAACTGCCTAGGAATAAAGAGGTGGGAACAGGCAATACAGAAAGAAGCTTTACACAAGAGCACACACCTTATATAAGAGTCGATCCAGATTGGGACGAGGATAAAGATGGGAAATGAAAGAAAGGGAATTAGGCAAAAGGAGGAGTTACAAAACATACAAAAAACATCATGGGAAACAATTCCAAAGTGCACAAGCATAGAGAAGAATGAATTATGTTTGAAGGGAAGAGGAAACATGGAATACAAGGAAAGTGATGCAAATGAAGGTAAAATGCTGGAATAAAAGATCACAATAATATCCCAGGTCAGAATGGTAAGCAGTCAGGAAGGACAACTAATTCAGAAGGAGCATATGAATATAGTAAGGACAGATGAGGTAAAAACTCTGCAGTATCAGGAAAAAAACTAAAAAAAAAAACTGAAGGTATGGCACAAGGCTTCCCGATGATCCAAGATCAAGGGGACTGAAGAACCATGGTCGAAAAACCAGGGGAGAAACTCTGCCAACCAAGACACAGGGGTTTCAGCTGCAGGAATTCCCTGACTCGTAGATTAACTGTAGAACACTTTCCATTTATGCCCACTGAACAAGAGTGAATGGAACAAGCTAAAACAAAGCTACCTGCAAGTATAAACCTGATCTCCCCATGAAGAACTGAATAACAGCCAAGCGTGAAGATGAACAATGTGAATGTCTAGATAAGAGTACCAGCAAATGAAGACAAAGGAAGAGGCAGCGGAGGTAAAAGTTGGAGCTGGATAAGTTGAGGAAACCATGGTTGAGCAATCAGAAGGACCTAACATAGAATGGTAGGGATAGGGGAAATCTCCTATGGAAGTAAAAAGGGGGGGGGGAGGATGAAGATACAAGAACCTGTGGGACCAATCCCGGCTAAAGGCATCAACAGCCCTACCTAGAGGAGGAAGTACCATATACCAAATAGAGATAATGGGTGGTTAATAGATCTTATAAAGGGATCTATGTGGGGAGAATCCGACAGAAGACAAAGCTACTAGAAACAAGACAATCGAGAGAACACTGCGATGGATAGAATATGTCAGGACAAGAAAAACAAACTGTGATCCAAATGAGAGCACCCAGAATATGACATGTAAGGATATGAATATTGTGTGAGGGTCCCAAAAGAGTAATCTTATATGTGAAAAGTGTGAACAGCTGCCACTCACAGGAGCAACATCCCCAAAAAAGGGACAAGAGAAGAAAAGGAACAGACCATGAAATCGTATTAATAATGGAAAGGAAACAAACAGCAGTGTCACACCCAACACTAGAAGGAAGAAATGAACTGAAGATGGAAAAATACCCAACATACAGGGAAGAAAGAGGAGGTATCTATCAACAAACCTGAAATGCAAACAGAACACCAAATAAAGGGAAACATGAAACATTAAAGGTATGTTCAATGATAGGGTAAAAAAGAATAACAAATGCTGGAAGAAATCTGCCTGAAATTAAACTAAGATAAAATTGAAAGCCCATAGAAGGTAAGGCTTTGTAAGTACCCAAACTCAAGAGAGACAAAAGGAACAACACATAAAACATGAAGATAATATTCTGCAAAACGTGTCTGAAAAATGTGAAAAGTAGTAAATACTGCAATAGAAGTAAGGCATTCCATGATAAGATCAGGGAGAACCGAGAAATTTATAACGCTGGAAAATGGGTTCATCGTTTAGATGGGGAAGGTGAGCAATAGTGAAAGCAGATGTTGAGTTGAAGAAAAATCTAGAACCAATGTAGATATGAACTTGTCCATAGAACTACGGGAAACCAAAAAATTAACGATAAAAAGGATAAATTATAAACTAAATGAAATTAAAAGTAAAAAGGATAAAGTGTAAACTAAATGAAATGAACAGTAATAATTAGAAAGTAGGAATGAAATGAAAGTAACTGTAAAAGGAGAAACTATAGAGAAAAACAAATGAATTAGTCAACATATTAAAATGATGTAGGGAATTAATCCCGTATGATGTAGTGGTCAAGAAAAACTGGAAACTAAGTAGATGTTAACTCGTCAATAAAACCACAGGTAAACCTATAAGTAAGGAATCTGAATCAAACAAGATAGTGAACAGAAATAACAAGGAATCTAAATTACAAATGCAATGAAATCTAACAGAACGAAACTATTTAAGCCTAATCAAACTGTACAGAACAAAGGATAACCTAAGAATGAAAAGAAAAACGAAACTTAACAATAAATAGGCACAATACTGGGAAAAGTTTTTGTGGGCCCCAATTCAAGGGTTCCACCCAAACCAAGTGAAGAAAAAGATTATTAATGAAATGAAATAGGTCAGTTTTATGTTACTGGATACTGTAACATGAGTGCACATGTGGCGCATCATTGTAATTCTGTATTGAAAGGTCAATATAATGAAAATAATAAATATATATATAAATGTATAATGTTATGAGATTTATGCTATTTAGTCTAAACATTTATGTTTTCATGTTATAATTTGGGTTCATTCTAGAATGAAAGAGGCATAAGTTATATTTATTTCCTCATTTTTTATGGTGGTTACGAGATCAATCAAATCTACTGAACCCATACAGTGATTCATTACTGAAAGTAACAGATAAAATATATAGTTTTTTTTTATTAAGAAATGTTTGATAACTATTTGGACATTATAAAGATTTTGCATGTGAAATTTCAAAATTTTTTGATGCATAAATGTATTTTTAATCTTAAAATGAAAATTACTTTGCATGTTAGATAGGCAAAATGTGAAAAGAAAAAAAAAAAGGCATGAGAAAACCATTGTTGAACAAACCTTAAGACTTAATAAAAAAATTTTAAATTTTGCATACGAAAGCATTGTAATGTTCACTAATAATGTACCAAATTTCATTAACAATCGCTTACTGATTTAAAAGTATAGCATGAAAACTATAACAAGCACAAAATGGTTACGAGGTCAGTCCCAGGGACTGAGCCTGTGCTGAAAGAGTTAATGGACAGGTACTAAGCCATGCAAGACAGATTATGCCTGAGGACAACAGATAGTACACAAGACATCCACTTATCTAATGAGCATGTGTATGTGACACAATGATAGTTGGATTTCAATAATATGCCTGTAACCTGATATAAGAATACGTGGCTAGGGCTAAAGGACTGTATATGATTAGGCCAAGTGCAGTCTGCATAGGCAAAAAACATCCAAGGGAAGTGCCTTGGATATATATCATGATAGCAAGGTGTGGTCAGCCCGATGCAAAACATCCCAGAGAAGCACCTTGGTATGCATCATATTATGTCAAGTGCAGTCCATCCGGGCAGAAAACGTCCAGTGGAAGTGCCTTGCATAAAATTGCATGTTTAAGATTTTGGTCATAACTGATATTGTGATCAACAATTGCAGTCAACCCGGGCAAAAACATCCAGGGGAAATGCCTTGTGATATTATTGAGTATGTCAAGTGAAGTACATCGAGGCAGAAAACATTCAGTGGAAGAGCCTTCTATAAGACTGATTATTATATATCCTGATAGTAATATAACTAGAGATCAAAGATCAAGTGTGGTCCGACCAAGGTAAAAAACACCCGGGGAAAGCACCTTGTCATATGACGTAGTATGACAAATGCGGTCCACCCGGGCAAAAACATCTGGGCGAAGCACCTTGCATGTTATTCAGTATAGCAAGTGTTGTCAATCCGAGCAGAAAACATACAGTTGAAGCTCGCTGCATAAACATCTTATTTCATGATCAGCAAGTGCGGTCTACAAGGACAAAAAACTTCCAGCAAAAGCAACTTGGATTGAGCATATTACGATAGTGTATAAAATTAAATATAATGATGATAGCCCTCTTCTCACTGAACAGGTACAAATGATCTATGAATTTTGAGTGGGTTTATTGTTCAAACCACATTCCTGAGGAAACCTCCATGGTCCACAACTCCAGTGACTGGGAACCAGAAGTGGTAAGGACTCCCATGCTAAACTAGAAGAAAAGGGGAGGAGCAATACATGCTGGGGAGTCTCAAGGAATGACACTGAAGACAATACAATGGGTTTCTGCCATTCCCTATTTTGAAAAGCAGAAAGACCACGATTCTAAAAATCAAAGGCCTGTAGGAATGGGCAAAAATCACCATCTGACTTACTCATGAAGTCCATGAGTGATAGTCCTTTAACATATCATACAGTGACGATAAAAAAATATACAGATATACACACACCACCAGATAAGCAGCCAATGGTCTTACAGAAACACCCCATCTCCAAAGTGAATGTTATTTAAATATACAGATTTAGTACTAAGATATAAAATTCAGCATACCTGATCTGGCAACACCTGCCACCAGGTGGGCAATTCTACAATGAATGGATCCACTTTGAGAATTACCACACGTTCAGTCAGTGCCACAATTAATTCTAAGGAGATTCACAGCCTACTAGCTGTTGCTGAAAAAAGCAGATACTGACCACTTATCACTAAACTCTGTCCCATCTCACTCGGAGATGGACTCATGCTACTCACTAGCCTTGTCCTCCTCTGAGTCCAACAACATTGCTGATAATGATGGTTTTACCACCATTCAGAAATAACCCAGAAGAAAGAAGAACCATACAGTAAGTATGCCACTGCTTCCAGCTGAAAAAAATAAAAACAAAGACAGAAGCACAATTGAAGATATTAACACAACAACAGTCATTAACAAAACACCCAACGCTGTTACCACTACACAAATTCCTGCATTAATTGTCAAAGGTGTTCCTAATACCTTCCGACAACAACAAATCGCAAGTGAATTTTGGAAATTGTTTCCAAACATTAAACTGAAGGAAATTAGAAGCCTACCCAAGGATGGCTTAGTAAGTAAATGCAATGAGCACAAAGACTTTGCTCACCTATTAGCCCACTGACCAACCACTGCATTAGGAAGAAAAACCATTATACATACTCCCACAGACACTTACCAGTTCCACATGCTTGCCATTAAAGGAGTTCAACATAACACTGAAGACACAGAAATCCATGATGAGCTGGTAGCACTAGGTCTGCCTCCTAAGAGAGTAGAGAGGATCACTTCTTTTAGAACAAATGGAAAAAAAGTTCCCTAATCAGAGTAAGGTTTATAAACAAAAAACACTCTATTCAGCAATGGCTGCACACACTTTTACACAGAATATAAAACTGAAGCCACTAAACCTCCACCCAAGTTGGTCTTATAGTGTTTCATATGTCAGAGATGTGGGCACTTTAAACCCAACTGCACTGCCAACCCAAGATGTGTTAGGTGCTCAGGCCCACACAAGGTTGAGAATTGCTCCAATCAATGTGAGCAAGTCAAGGATGCTAACTGCCAAGGCCCCTGCATACACACAGCAAATCAGAGCCCCACTTCTCCCAACACCACCACACACACAGGCCAACCCTTTCTCCTGCACAACTAACATGATTAAGATCATTATGCAAACCTAAACATCACCACCATTCACTTTCACTGCCACGCTAAACAACACAACCCACTTCTTACGCAGACAAGACAGCTAAACACACTAAAGCAACCAGTGAGCTGCAAAATCACTCGAGTCACTCACACATTAATCTAGGTGATTTTACTGTTAATTTACTAGCCTTTCTCACTGAGTTATGTACATTTGCACCAGCACATGACACCAAAACTCCATTCATCGACAAATCTTTAGTAAAAATACTACTGTAAAAAAATCTGATTTTCTGTTTTAGAAAGCTTGTCAAATTTCATTAAGATACACATGCAATATTAAAAGTTATAGTGTGAAAAATCTGATGGTTACTTGGTGGTAATAAGGTCAATCACATCATCTGACTACATATGGAAAGAAATTAATTATGTAGAGCAAATGGATATAATGTTTTGAATATGTGAGCAGGTTCTTCATCGCAGAAATAAAATTCACACAGCAGATCACTTGAAACAGCTATGAACTCCAAAGCTACACCCCAAGCCAATCCAAAACCATTGTGTTATGTTTATTAAAAATGAAAGATAATAAATAACTATTTGAAACTGATGGTGGTTCAAAAGCTTCAAGCCACATCTTAATATCAACAGTTATTTTAATTAAAGATTGCTGGAAAACTTGAATCACAGTAATTCATTCAGTCATATATATCTGTCTATTCCCCATGATGCAGTTCCAATGGACTTTCATGTCTTTGGTCTGTTTAAATGTATGTTTGGAAGCAAACGTCCTCATATAGTGGAAGGTTTGTGGAAAGTCTGTCAAAATATGTGGTCTAAGGTTTACCTAGGCATGCTTTGCAGGAACTTATTACAATGGAAAATGGAGTGTTGGGCATTAGTGCCTAATCATGGCTATCAGGATAAGTGCTATCAATAAAAGAAATTGTAGTATCAAAAGTTTGGTAAACAATCACCTGGTGACTCAATAAACTTACAGTATCAAGTTTTTAGAATGTTTAGTTGGCAGTTCAGTATAAAATGACATGGTGACTCCTCAGAAAGACTTCAATATAATTTAGTTAACTGAATATTATGAGGTAATAATAGCTGTCAATGTAAGCATTCATATTTACTAACCTGATCCTTCAGTATGAGAAGAGTTGCTAAGGTATGATGAAGATTCCAATATTGAACATCATAACATCAGGTAATCCTGTGTAAAGCAAACATATTACAAATATTTAAACTAATAAACATGTATTTCATAAACTAAGTACTAATAATGGATTTTAAGGTAATGAATTCCTTGAAGTACAATTTCAAATGTAACACTGATTTCAAATTTATATGTATGTTTGTCAAACAAGAAAGTAATTTTTCACAATAACTGCTATTAAAAAACAAAAAGTTATTCAAATGAACTTTCACTGATAAGCCAAGAAGAAACAAGATCTAACCAAATGATGAAATTGATATTGAAACATTAAGTCTTTTTCTATAAAGAACATGGCAACCAAAACTTCAAGTTGTTATTATCAATATTACAAATTTTTAGTGTTTCATAAGCTGTAAGCGGATGATGATGAATAAGCGACAAGGTTTTGGTGTTAATACCACCAAGTATTCAATGTTCCATGCAAACAGCATTTCAAATCAACTTGGGTAATACAAGTTTTGGTACTTGACACAATGAATTCTCTAAGCAGTGACCCTTTACTTGATAATAATTCACTGTTGAAAAAACTGTTGTGTAACGTAACATATATATATTTTTTCATCTAAACCCATATCAAACTGTTATTTATTTCTAAATCTACAAGGAAGGACCCTTCCATAAAAAAAAAATGGTAACATTTAATGGCAAATATTTAGTGATTACACAATGCAATTTTGTTTTTCAAATTACAAACACAAAACTAGTATGCATGATTACATACAAGTTTGTCTTAAAAACTTGTGAAGTTTTACAACTCTCATTCACAAGTATGATGCATTTACTCACCAATGCAGTGCTTCAACTGCAAGTGCAACAAATGTATATCCCTTCACAAACACAGATGATGTCTTAATGAACAAGATTTTTTCTTTTTTTTGGGGGGGGGGGGATACAAATTTTTCTTGATAACAGATGTTTGTATTATATTTAAATTTTCCCTCCTTTCCTCTCCTTTTTCCATTTTTAGTTCTTTGGCTTTTAGAGGCTCATGACCACCCAGTAAATATAGTGCAAGTTTTTACACAAGTACAATATCAGTAACACCAAACTGAAAAATGGTCCAAGAAAGTTTTTGTTCTAAACAATAGCACTGTTATAGTTTCTCTCCAAAAATATAATAGATAAAACTTGTATTTTAACCTTTCCGTCTTCATCCAAAAACAAATTAGAGGAAGTGACTAACATATCTAAGCATGACTGACCCAGGAAATTAAAAAAAAAAGAGAGAGATATGTAGGATTACCAGAATAACTGTTGTGGTCCAATGTATCTTCAGACTAATATACATGTTGCAGAACAAATGGACAGTGATTAATACTTACACACAAACCCGGTGATTCAGCCGCACATTAACCGCATGATGTTTGCAAAACCATCACGTTACGCGTCTTCCTCTAGTCTGCCTCTAGCATCTGTAATTCATCACGGTAAATAGAGCTCCTCTATCAAATTAAATGATTTGTTTTGTTACAGGAATACATTCAAACCCGTATATGAAGTCAACCAGCGATTTTATTTAATTTTTCTGTTACAGAGAGACCTGTGATAGAACATTACAAGTCGAGTAATGAGTAATAACTATCACAAAATTCATGTTACATAATGTTGAAATGTTGAACACGAATCATACACGAAAAGTCTTAAGAGCTAAAATATAATAGCCAGAAAAAATACACGAATTATGTTCACTCTAGGTAAAACCAGATGTACAAAGGCATGTTTCTCCACATCTGTCATGTTCTTCTTTTGTACATCGACTCGCGCCATCCCGCTCCACAGCAATGCCACCGCGAGCGCGTTCCTTCAGGCACCCGTTAAAACATAGCGGCGCGACGAGCAGCAGTCGGAGGAGTGAGTCGTCCTGATGTGTAACTGTTTCGAAGGAAAAAATATTTTGTTGAACATCCCACTACCAATTATTTTATAAAACTACCTAAGAAAAACTAACAGCTGCCCCCATCTAAAAAGATCACCTTTTTCAGCTGTTGAAAGATACAGCACAATTCTGTTCAAAAGGATTATTTCTTCTCATAATGTGTGATAACAGCTGCTTCACATATGTGGTGATTTATCAATTATGTTTGACCATAAATACGTGAAACACAAAAGGTATTTTCAAATGTACTGTTAAGGCCCAATCCAGAGAATTCAGACTGGTTGGTAGTCTAGCTACATTAATACTTAATAACCACTGACTATGGCACTGCAACCACACACTACTACAACAATGAAGGTGAAGAATAAATTTAATATATATGACTTGCCAAATGTTTGATTTTATTTAAAGACCTATTGTTTTTATTTTAGCTAATAGTACATGCTAGAGAAAAGAAAATTTTAGATAGTAAAAAGACCAAAGGTTAATACTTAGCTAAACATGCTAGAGAATGAATAATTTTAATTAACAGTCACTAAAGGTTGAGACTTCTTCATACACATTGAGAGAAGAGAATGCCACAACTGCAATTTTAGCAGCTAAGCACTACTATCACCCCCCTTGATAATTACATGTTTTTGCTTGTGTATGATTTAATACCAAAATGCAATAAACCACTCTTGTAATATTACCAAAATCTTTTTATTAGTTATTTATTTGCAACTGTCTTGAGTGTCCTGTGAATGTCATTTTAAAACCTGATATATCATCATTAGAATTTGTAATTCTTAAACAAATGCATTGCACTAATATAATGTTCCCTATAATTACCAAATAAGTGACCATAACCTTCAATGCATTTGCCATTTGTGCCAACTACTAACAGAAGCATAATATAGGTTGACTTAGCCACAGAATGGAAGATGCTAGTTGTATAAAAAGACTAAACCTTATGATTTATATTGTTACAGATTGCTTTTTTTTTTATAGTTAAATTAAAGGTCATGGTGGTTAAAAGATTATTAAAAACTTCACTTAGATATTTCAAAAAGTTCTTACAATGCAATACTCGTTTTCATTTATTTTTCAAAGAATTTCTTATATGGAATAATCACTTTTAGTCTTTATGTATTTAACCTGATGACTACCAGCTACTAACTTTCTTAGTAGCCAATGCAAGTCATGCTATATGTCATTCCAACAATAAAACTATTGGTTAAAAAGTTTTGAAACTTCTTAAGAACTTTCATAAATGCACACAGTTTAAAAAACAAAGCCTGTTACTTTTGATAAATTTAGTTTTTTTTGCATTATGATCTTTAATATCTTGGAAAATTACATTAGGAAATGGTATTTATAAGAAATTATTACAATAT